TAGATGATCTCTAGAGGTCCCTTCCAACCCCGAACATTCTGTGATTCTGTGACCCTTTGTGACAATCATGTCCAACCCACGCAAGCAATGAGGGTGTGTGCTGCGATGCAGGCTGGGTTCCATTTTCTCCAGAACCAAGATCTGAAAATACCAAGTTGCCTAAAATTTGCATCCCATTTTGGACTTCCTTAATGGAGCGCATCTATTGTTGCTATGTGTCTGCAAACCGTGAGCATGATGGATATCGGCTCCTGAACTCTGCTGTTCTCTGTGCTTAATACATAAATAAAAATCAAATTCCACTATCAGAGGAATGTTTGGGTTTTTTTATTCTGACTATGTATTTGCAGTCACAAGCATTGCTTGCTTTGTGGAGCAATAACTTTAATACATTAGCTAGTATTTTTTTTTAAATTATTTATTTGTAGATTATTTCAATTTAAAGTGAGATTTTCAGGTAACAAGGTAGGCAAACATGTTTAACAATGCCATGATATAAATTGCTGTAGGTGACAGATCTCTACAAAAATTATTACAGGCATATTTGCAATGCAGAAATTTATTTCTATGACAGCAAGCAGAAAGACAAATTACTCAGAGACTATGTACATGCTCTTCTATAATTGCTCATAAATTATTATGGTTCATGTTAAAATGCATCTAGACTCCCAAGACAACTAGATTAATTTAAAACAAGAATAATGGGAAATTGCCAGGAAATCTTGGGGAAGGAGGTGCAGTACACACATTGGGTGATTGCTAATGTAAAAGAACAGTAAATTATTGGCAGCCAGCTTAATCTATAATTTACTTAATAATTTTGAAACCTTCATTTTTGGTTTGCTTAGGTTGCATTGGCTTGGATAGACAAGTGGGATGGGCACAGCGGGCCCCCACCACGATTCACTGCTGCTGCTTCCTTGCCCACGGGGGATGCATCGGGACCCTCTCCCTATTTCCATGTAGGAAATAGGGTTGAATTTAGTCAGTTAGGTCAGAAGTTATGCTAATGAGGTGCAGAGACTGACAGGTAGGTGGGCAAAATTCTTTTTCTTAGGAAGTTGGGTGCAAAGTGGGACAGCGTTTCTATAATCCTCTTAATGCTCCAGATTTTAGACAAGTATTTGAAATAATTGTCTTGTCTGAAACATACCCACGATAAATAGCATTTAATTTGACCGGGCTTTCAGTCAGGCACTTATTAAGGATCAGCTAATTATTTGGTAGCCGAGAAAAGCTGTATATACATTTAATTATATTAAAGTGCCTCTCTCTAATGCCATTATTTTTCTTTTCTTACCACCATGATTATATTACGTATTGAGAGCCAGCCCAACAAAAAAGACAGCAAACTTTGTTCTTGATAATGGAGTGCTAAACCTCCACCTAAGCAGCTCCAGTCATTTGTAATGACAGCTTGGAGAATACTCCAAATGAATCTCACAATTCTCATGCTTCAGTGACTGACAGCGCGGCAAGAGGAAAAATTCCAGCTTCCACGTGAGCGCGGGGAGCCTGACCTAGATTTTCGCCTCTACAGCTTCGTAAGAGGAAACATTCTTGGCTGTGTATTCAAGAGAAAAAAAGAGTAAGGGGAAAAAGTCATCTCCTGTTTGATTAGTCTTCCTTCATTAAATAAGATTTAGTCAAGGTGCTTTGTGAGACTTCTCCCCTCGGCAGATGTGACAACCCTGTTACGAATGGTTGCCTCATTCCCTGTGTGCCCTCCTGGCTGTGATTCCCGCCTCTCGCCCTGCCGCGGGGAGCGATGGGCAGGCAGCCTGCTGCACCTTCCCCTCCCTGACGCTCGCTCACTGGGTCGGGGTGAGCCACACCGCTGGCTCCTGAAATTCTGCCATTTGGATTCTGGCGTAAATCTCTTTTTTCTTTCTTTTCTTCTTTTGAGATGCAGGTGCTGGGCTGGGGTCAGGTCACTGGCCCCATGGTCTTGGTCTCCACCGGGGGCAGCTGGAGACGGGTTTTCGCCACTTTAATGTGCTGTAAATCAGCATTCAAATGTTCCACCGTGTTTCATGTACTCCAGCAGTTGTAGTATTGAAAATAAAATAGTAGAGAAGTGCACACTAGAAGGGAGAAGAGATTTTCAAACAGAAGTGGCAGATGAGACACACTGAGTGACAGAGAGGGCAGCTTAGTGTTCCTCTGAGCTGTGCTTTGACAAGTGGTTTGGTGTGAATATGGGAGAAATTTTATGGGAAGCAGAGGCATTTGCAGCCTCTGGAGCTGGATTTCTGTATTGGGTCAGTACCGAAGTCTGTAACTCTTCCTAATTGTGACTCTACTCTGTGAAATAAATGAAAAAGTGGCACCTTCCTGCTTGACCCACAAGCTTTCCATGTGTGTCTGAATGTCAGTTATTCTCTACTGTGATTTAACTTTGCTGAACCAGCACGAATTTGAAAGCATTAGGTGACGTGATGGGATTAGATTGACAGAAGATTGACAGCATTAATTAGATCAGCTGAATTAGTTTGGATCTAAATTCTGGTTCTGGCTACCCCTATTCATTCCAGTTTACACCCCTACCTAGGTTTTTGTGACTTTGCTAAAACCCAGGAGGAAGGGTGCCTTTGAGAATACCTGTATGTCCTGGAGAACAGGGATGAGCCATCTGGAGAGCTCAGCGCTGCCTTTCACACCCCTTGCTGGGAGAAGGCGGCTGCTGAGCTTTGCCCTGCTCTTTAATTGTGAGCTCACACCAGCCTAAGGAGCAGGGCTTAAAACAAGAGCAGGGCTTTTGTGAGGAAGCTCTGCACGGAACGCATTGATACCTGCTCGATGTTAAAGCCTTCAAAGCCTCATATATAAAATAATTTATGATGTCAGAACAGGTTTTAATTGAAAAGTGGATTTGGAGGGATTTGTAGGACTGGGAGAGTTGGGTTCTTTTTCCAGCTCTGCTGCTGTCTGTCACACCAGTGCAGAGGAAGGTGAATGTGGGGTTTCGTGGGGTCCTGGCCGGAGCCTGTGGCAGAGAGCGTGGCAAAGAGTGGCAGTGTGCAGCTTTGGTCGTGGTGAAAGATCCTATAAACCTGGAGGGGGTGCACTGAAAACAAATCCGTCAGTACATGAATTTCAAGCAATGATTATCCAAACTGGTCCTGGTCTGTGTGGCACTGGGCGATGGGAGGGAGAACACAGAGAAAGAAGTGATGGTGCAGCAAGGAAGAGAAGGGAAGTCACTGAATTACTGTGAGCCTTTCGTTTTGGGTCATTAGCAGTAGCCATTAAAAGCAAGAAGAAACGAGTTTTAATTTAAATCAGCAGGATATTTCAGCAAAATGAGAATGGAAGTGAAAATGCAAATTAATAAAAAAATTGTGCATGTGTAACTTCAGGTGAATGTTTTGGAGCTTTATAAAACTGCGGTTTACAAGTGAAGTTGTTTTTACTACAAGTTATTACATGGAAGTTTATGTATCAGAAATATATGAAGGTGGTCAGTGTCCATAGGTTTAAAATATGGTTCAGGAGCATGGCTCATGGGGTTGCAGTACAATTATAGCTGATTTACTGCGCTGGGAAAAATAAAAACCTTCCATTTATTAGAGTTAGATTTGAAGGATTCAAGAGAAGCCTTTACAGTCTTTTTCTTTGGTTATATTCTTGGTTGACTTTCAGGCTTCTAGGTTTTTTTAGCCATAAAAAAGATTGAATTAAAACGTTTCTGATAAGTGAGGGGGGAGTCACATATTTGCATGTGTGCATGCTCTAGAATTATATTATAACTAAGATGATTTAAAATAATGGGAGAAGAAATTGTGGGGAGAAGTATTCTTTTATTAAACTGGCTGACATGTTCGTTTTTAAAGTGAAGTATCAAGAAAGTGTTTCAAAAGTTTTTTGCTGAACAGAACATCAAAAGATCCCTTTTCATATTTGTGCATTTGCTATATTAAGCTTGATTGCATAGGTAGCAAATATTTAAGGTGAAAACACTTGGTTTATTTATTAAAGAAGTAGTAGTTTGGGGATGTAAGTAATGGTATCTAAAGAAATGGAATTGAGCAGGCCCAATGTGCTCTGTTTATTGCCTCAGCATTAGCATCTACATGCAGCTAAAATAAAAAAAAAAAAAATAAAACCCTTTAATAGCTGCTTCAGGCTATTCACATTGCTATAAAACCAAGGTTCTTCTAATTCATTGCATTGCATTTCACAAGCTGCCTTTCACTATCTTGAAAAAATATTCTGTATCTAATATTTTTTTATTATTGTTTTGCTTTCAGTTGATGGTTGCATTGACTGGTCAGTGGATCTCAAGACATACATGGCTTTGGCAGGTGAACCAGTCCGAGTGAAATGTGCCCTTTTCTACAGCTATATCAGAACTAATTATAGCATGGCCCAAAGCACAGGTCTTAGACTTATGTGGTACAAAAACAAAGGAGATTTAGAAGAACCCATTATATTTTCTGAAGTTAGGATGAGCAAGGATGAAGATTCAATATGGTTTCACTCGGTTGAGTTGCAAGACAGTGGGTTCTACACCTGTGTTCTAAGGTGGGTATTGTGTTAAAGTCTGACTAAGAATGTATAGAGTGTCCTGGTTAAAACAAAATGTTTAAATTTAGCTCTCAGGATTGAGATATTCTTCCAGTTAATGCATATTCATTATTTTTATTCTTGTAATTATATATGTCACATAATGCTTTGTCTCAAAATTAATTTCCCTAGTAATTATAGTTGCCTCTTCCAATACCTATAATTAAACATGTGCTTTCACTTAATTACTTTTTTTTTTAAGAGCAACATCTGCAAGTTCTCAGTTTGCCATAAAGCTTCAGAACTGGATACTTCTTAAATCATGAAATATTTTGGCTAAGTAATGCTCCTTTTCAAATCCTCTGAGTTATTCAAGAGTTAGACACAGATTGAATTTTTCCGATGGGGCTAGGCCATGGGGAGTTACAGTTCTGTCTAGTTTTGAAGAAATGTTTATTTTAATATGCAGTTATGATTTGTCATGTATTTAAGCAGACCTTGTTTGGTCTTGAAATGTGTGTCTCAGAAGTATTTTGGAACTGTTGGATGAGCCTTAAATTAAGCATGTGCTGGAGCTTGTGATTTCCATCATGTGGATGTTGATGTCAGCTCTATGCCTAAAATGAGAAGGTAAAAATGAGAACTCTTTAAGAATGAATGAATAAATATTTCTTAAATGATGCAGTTTTGAATTGAGAGGAATTTACAGATGCTTAATAGGATTCAGTTTTAAACTATTTTGAGAGAGTCAAGCTTGCTTCGTCGTCTCCTGGTCCATACTGAAATTATACACAAGTTTGATGTATGTAATATCACATATTTCCAGCAAAATAACAACACTGTTCAAAGCTTGGAATTTGCCCTTTCTCTGTCTTTGCTATGTCTTGCTGCCTTGTCTCAGCTGCCTTTGTCCATTTTGATCTGAAAAATGCTGCTAAAATCAAAGATTGTGCTGTGGTTCATGATGGTTTGTCCTGGGGACCAACGTCCAGTTCAACTGTCAGATGCATCTGCCAAACTCACTGTCGAGTCTGTGTTGCAGCCTTTGGAGTTAATTGTTCTTTTATTAGCTGCTCTGTCACAGGTTTGGTGTGATGTGAACTGGGTGATTTTGAAACATTACGGGAAGATGGTGATTTACATGTTTCAAGGGAGCTATACTTTTTCCATAAGAAGTCACTGTTGTGATAATCGAGTTACTACTTTAATACCCTGAAAATTCTAATGTGAATCCTATGGGAACAAGGAAGAATTGATCTTGGAACAAATTCTGGGACATACTTTTTTTCTGGGAAATTTCAAAACTCTTTGCTCGTTTACATGACAAAGTAGTTCTCATAACAAATGGGCAAATGATTAAATAATTCACCCATTCTCCTCATTTTCAAGTAAAAACTATATGGCATGCTTCTTGGAAGACATTACACAGCAATAAGATCTTTCTTGTCAATTATGCAATTTTGCTGCTCTGGACAGAACTTTCTTATATAATTACAGATATTTTTGCCTTTTCCAGATTTATGTTAGAGTGCAGAATATTAGAAGTATTGGTTACATGTAAAAGACCAGATTTCTTCCTTTACTGAGTTAATTTTTCCTTCCAAAAATTTGGCAATGTATCCTTGCTGTTATTGTTTATGAAATCAAAGGTGACTTAGAATAGCTGAGAAAATAGTAATTTATTTTAATTTCATTTAAAATGGTCTAGATGTAATGTTCTGAAATATGATCTCAGTTTTGTGGTAGACTATCCACACCATTAACTGTGTGATTTCAGCTTTATTAATCCATTTTATGTGGAGAGGGATAAGCAGATGTTTGCGTTTTAGTCATTAAGCAGGCTCACCTGCTTTGTGAGAATTGAGAGGTCACAAATGAGAGCAGTTATTCTAGAATATAAATTTATTTTATAGAAACATTAACAATTTTTGTTACAAATGCCTCCTTTTGTAGATGGAATTAATAGAGACTGGTAGAGAATCAGTGCAGTGGAAATGAAGAGGTGACTGTGCCCATCAGTGCGCAACACATGGTTTAGGGTTGTGTACGCGATTGAGACTTTCGGTTTGGCAGCTGAATGAAAAAAAAATGGGGAGGAAAATGCTTTTGATTCAACATAAAGTTAGAACTTCTCAAGTTTTTCCTCCACAAAGAAGCAATTCAAATCTAAATTGATGTCTTTCTAGCCACTCACCAAGGATGTGGGAGGTCAGGATGCCCATGAGCCAGCAATGTGCCCTCATGGCCAAGAAGGCCAATGGCATCCTGTGGTGTGTTAGAAGGGGAGTAGCTGGTAGGTCGGGAGAGGTCCTCCTCCCCCTCTACTCTGCTCTAGTGAGGCCACATCTGGAATATTGTGTCCAGTTCTGGGCCCCTCAGCTCAAGAGAGAAGGGAACTGCTGGAGAGAGTCCAGCACAGAGTCACAGAGGTGATGAAGGGAGTGGAACATCTCCCTTATGAGGAAAGGCTGAAGGAGCTGGGTCTCTTTAGCTTGGAAAAGACGAGGCTGAGGGGTGACCTTGTTAATGTTTATAAATATGTCAAGGGGGAGTGTCAGGAGGACAGAGCCAGGCTCTTTTCAGCAACATCCAATGACAGGACAAGGGGTGGCATACAAGCTGGAACATAGGAGGTTCCACAGAAACATTAGAAAAAGCTTTTTCCCTGTGAGGGTGACAGAGCCCTGGCACAGGCTGCCCAGGGAGGTTGTGGAGTCTCCTTCTCTGGAGACATTCAAAACCCGCCTGGACGCGTTCCTGTGTGACCTGCTCTGGGTGATCCTGCTCTGGCACGGGGGCTGGACTAAATGATCTTTGGAGGTCCCTTCCAACCCCTGACATTCTGTGATTCTGTGAAGTCCTGGTACAGTTCCCGGTGCTGACCAAAGGGTGGGAACCCATGTTTCCGTGTCCCAGTGGCCAGAACGTTCAAGCACATCAAGACTCCTTAGAACTGTTTTGTCTGAAATTCATACTTGAGGTGGGACGATCTTCTCTGGTAGAAGGGAATTGAACACCAAGGGGTTTTAGCAAATTGTACATAAAGGATGTCACAGGCAATAGTGAGAGCTATACTAATTCATGCTCCAGCAACTCGTTATTTTTTCCCCAGTCAAAACAACATGGCAAATAAGAAAACTATGGGGAAGGTGACAACTGCACATTTCACTGAATTTCCTGTTGAAAAAGTTCTTCACAATTCTAAAAACCCCACAACCCTGTTTTTGAAGAAGCTGCATTTTCTGATTGCTCACGGGTGCTTGTGGGATCAAGGCATTAGTGTCTTAGAAGCAATTGGAAGGAATTTTTCTTAGGCTGCTTTAAAAGAGTGCGTATGAGCAGGCGAAGGATAGGCTGATATGACTGATCTGGAGATGGGTAAAAATTAGATATGTCAGCGAATTCTTTCTTATACAGAATTGTCATTTTGATAATCATAATGTCTGTTTTGTAAATGAACCTGTAATACTGAATGCAATTAAGGAGTATTAGAGCAGCCTTAATGAAAGAGATTGCTTCTCCAGGCTGAGGAGGTCTGATACCATAATGTAAAAATTGCCTCTCCTTTATTAACTAATTCGACATTGTTCTATAGGCAGATGTGGATGTGTGTGTGTAACAGGAGGAAATTATTGTTGCATTAAAACTTACTTTGCTCACAATACTTTTTGACATTGAGCTAACACTCAGATATGAACTGAAGTGCGATGGTTTACTCCAGTGTTGAGCATGGCTGCAGCATATTAAGGGGTCTTGATTTTGCAAGAACTTTTAGAAGAGTGCAGAGTTGAGCTGTGGTAGCTAGTCCATGGATCCATGGATCTGCTCTGTTCTAGGTGCCTTTTCTGTGGCAAATCAGGGATCCAGTGACATCTGAAAGGGATCCTGACTAATGGATAGATGCGTGTTTTGTTACAGTTCCCAGATAAGTGCTGGGATATTTGTATCCTGACTTTACTGCCCAGTATGGAAGTGGTTGGTTCTGGAGGTCCTTTTGGAGTACAGGCTCTGAATATGCCTTTAATCGTACAGCACTCACCAGTGCTACTTCCACATAAAGCTTTCAGCGTTTCTGTTGCAGAGGTTTAGTGTTCTGGGATTTTTGGAAACTGAAACAGATCTCACTGCATAAGGTGGCCCTAAAGTTCTGAGTATGTAAGTCATTTGCCCGATCATCTGCTGATTTTTGCACCCTGAACAAAGGTGTTTCTTTTCTGCATTAAAAGCCTCTGGTTTTTAAAGAGACAATAAGAACTGGGCCTACTTAGATCTTTTTAAACTGATGAAAGAAGAGAAGATGAGCTATGGGAAAAATCTCAGCAAAATTTAGGTGCACATTTGCCCTCAATAAGGGTCTGCTCCTGGAGCCCTTTCTTTCTAACCGATCCCAACTCTGAAATACACTGAAGTGCTGAATAAACGCTTTGTGAGCAAGATCAGTGAAACGTTGGTGTATATTTGCTTCTAATTAACTATTGGTGAAATAAAATAACTCAATTCCTATAATGTGGATCAGGTGGGTACAAAGCCTTGAGGGCGTGCAGGGAAAGCAGGAGGTGCAGGCTCGTGGCTGCCAGACTGGCTCACAGAGCTAAGCCTGGGTTTTTGTACGGGCTGCAGAACAACAAGGGAGTGAGGGCCTCGAATGCTTATGAAGCAGTAAGCCTGCAGATCTTTAATGCCAGCATTTGATGCCAGGGAACTGCCAACAAATCAAGTCAGGAAATCTGCGTATCCCTCTTCCCTTACTTGGTCCCTGTCTGCACAGTTCTTAATGGAGAGCAGCATTGCTATGGACATGCACAGAAGAATCGAGCCTCTGCTGAGCAATTGGTCCAATATCAAGATACTACTTTCTGAGCAGTAATAAAATAGACCAATACTAGAGTTTAAGCCTTCCAGCTTCTGAATGTCTGTGGAGCGCATACTGAGCAAATCAAAATCAGATTTAGACAGCCTGGAGGCGCTGTCAGTAAAAAAACTTCATTTGTGGTGTAACTTTTGTGCTCTCACTTCAG